AAAAAAAAAAAAAAAAAAGACTGATCATAAAACAAAACTACAAGCTGTCTTTGCCTCACTTACAACTTGACAAAACATAGAAGATATTCTTGACAATATTAAGGAAATGTGCCCAGTTCAGTAAGACAACAAGATTACTGTATACTGTGGTTTCACTAGTTCATTTTACAACTATACTGAAGAGAGGAAACAAAACCATCTGATTGAGAGAATTGTGCAGTCAGCATGGTGGTGCACACCTGTAATCCCAACCTTCTGGAAGGCTGAGGCAGGAGGATGGCAAATTCAAGCCCAGACTGTCTCAAAAAAACACACATAAGAGGGCTGGGGATGTAGCTCAGCCCAAAGGCTCTAGTTTCAATCCCCAGTATTAAAAAGAAAAATCCAAAATCTTGTAATAGTGGGATTGATAAATGTACTGGCTCCAAGAGTACCAGTATTTTATCATGCAGGTTTAGTGTCCCTCTCCTAGAAGGCTTAGAACCAGAAATGTTCCCGATTTTAGTGACTTGTACTATAGAATGTTCGCATAAACATAACGTGACCTTGGGGACCGGGCTGCGTCTGAGCGAAGCCCACTCACACCTCGCATGCTCCTTGTACTTGGCCTGGAGCAGTGGTGGGCAGTGTCTGCCTTGTGCTCTCAGGTGTGGTGTTTCTCTTTGTTGAGTCAGGTCAGCACTCAAAGTTTCAGAGTTGGGAACATTTTCTGCTTTTGATTTTTTGGATTAGGGATGCTAAACCTGTACTCTGCAAACCAGGATTTAGTGCGTACTCTTAAGGTGCCCAGGGCTTTTGACAGGGTTTTCAAGATTTGAAAAGAGGTAGGGGGATATGGGGCATGCTGTGTGACTTGAGTAACATGGTGTTATGTAGTTTGATTGGCTTTTCGTTTTTTTTTGTCACCTGAATAATTGGTCTTGAGACTCAGATCAGAGACTGCTAAAAATAAGTGTCAGGAAGCTAACTTGAGCTGAGCTTGGTAGCGCATGCCTGTCATCCAGCACAGGGGAGGCTTGAGTTCAAGGCCAGCCTAGATATCATGGGAAGTTTGAGGTCAGTCCAAGCTACATTGCAAGACCCTGCACCAGAAAGAAAGTGGCAAATTTTTCCAGGGAACAAATGGCAGATATCTGCCTGGAGCCTGTGTTTCATCTTTATGTGACCACCATGAGAAGGATGAATGAATCACAGTAAAGTCGGACCTAGAGATCAAAAGGTCACTAGGAGAACAGAGGAAGCCCCTGTTGGTGATGATGAAGCGGGGAGCCTTTTGCTGACTGTAGACACAGCGTGCTGGCTAATCCAGTCTCGGGCATGTGTGACCAGGAGGGCTCGTTTCTCGGGGGTGGGGTGGGAAGAGGCCAACCCCACATTCTCCTCACTGCACTCTTCTTCACTGACCAGTGTGTGGGCAAGGCCTGGCCTTCCAGGACAGTGGTATGAGTGGGGAAGTGGGAAAACACATGTCCTCCTAACGCCCAGGCTCAGAACTGGCAGTGTCCCTGGGTGTTGTTGGGCTTGCCTGTCACTGAGGAGGCTGAGGCAGGAGAATTGCACATTCCAAGCCTGCTTGAGCTACATAGCAAGATCCTCTCTCAAAAACAAAACTCTGGCCATGTCTCTTATGCCTCATTCTAGTGGCCACACAATTCACACAGCTGAAAAAATTCAGTCATAGGAGAGCACTATAGTGGGAGACTGTCTTAGCCATGTTACCGACACCCGCAAGTAGAGGAGAGGTTTCTTTGTTGGGCTGCATACAGTTCAGTCCATAGTTGTCTGGCTGCAAGGCAAGGCAGCATGGCAGAGGGTAGCTGGCACGGTGGTCAGGAAGCAGAGACCCAAACCCTTTTGCCTGACAGCAAGTGAGCTATAGCTCTGTGGTCAGTTACTGCCCAGAAGCCCCACCCAAAGGATGAGGCTTTGGGGACATATAGGTCCAGACCATAGCAAGGAGCAGAGCAGGTGGGTGGTATGGTCCCCTGACTGCTAAAGGTAGACGTGCAGCATGCGGGGACCTTGCCCACCTGTGTGAGTAGTTGCCCCTGGTCACCCAGGCCAGGGTCTGAGCAGCAGGCACCCACCAGGAGAGGGACTTTCCAAACCTGCCTCACAGTTGTAACCTCTCCTGCTCAAGTTTGTGGGTAAATAAAAACTACAGGCCAGAATGCCTGGAACATTGATTTACAACAACACTAATCTTTGGTATTCGACTTTAAAGGTAGGGTCGCAAAAACAAGAGTGCCAGCAGGGCTACATTTGCTGGAACAAACTTGCTTTCATTTTGTTTTGTTTTGTTTTGTTTGTGATATTGGGGATTGAACCCAGGACCTTAGCCCAGAGCTATATCCTTAACCCTTCTTTTAGAATTTTAAGACAGGGTCTCAGTAAGTTGCTAAGTTGCCCAGTGTGGCTCAAACTTGATCTCCTGCCTCTGCCTTCCAGGGTACTGAGATTACAGGTGTGCTTCATCACAACTGGCTTGGAGTTTTCTTTCAAAAAATGAGTTATATTTTATTTATCAACAGAAATCTCCAAGTTTGGGTCTAAGCTAATGCATTGCCTTAGTTTTTTCTTTTTGTTGAGATAGGGTTTTGCTGTTTAGCCAAGGCTGGCCTTGAATTCATGATCCTCCTGCCTCAGCTTCCCCAGTGCTGTGTTACATGTGGGTTCTGCCATGCCTGGCTTCCCTTGTTTGTTTTTGGTTTTGTATATTACTGTCTTTAAATTTTTCCCATACTTAACACAGATAAAGGATTTGTCAGAAATAACTTTTTGAAAAAGAACAGTGATAAACAGTGAAAAAGAACAAGTTTACTAGTGATAATGGTAAATTATAAAGAACAGTAATGTTTTCTGAAAATATTGCCTTAACCTTTTACATATTTTCAAATGCAAAGGAGGCTTTTGGATTATTTTACTGTTTATTTTTTGGTGCTGGGGATCAAATCCACAACCTCACGAACGCTCAGCAGATCCTTTACCCCAAATCTGCAGGCATCAGAGTCTCTGGATTTGTGGTCCAAGCTGGGCAGCAGGTCTCATCATCTACAGGCATTGTCTTTTTAGGGAGAAAACTTTTATATTTTGAATTTATAATCATTTTAATGGCTCTGGACAAAATTCAGCAAGTGTTTTACTGTTATTACGTATTTGTACTGAAAAGAATATTTTAAGAAATTTAAAAAACAAATACACATCTGGAGCACAGTGGCGTGAGAGGTAAGGCAGAGAATTGCAAGCTTGAACCCAGCCTGGGTAGTTTACCAGCTCTGTCCTAAGGTAAAGACCTGGGTTTGATCCCCACCTCCACCAGAAATGGGATGAGGGGGCACTTACAGTGTATTTGAAGGGTATTCATTTGATGTGCTCATTTCCAGACCTGATGAGATTCCATTACTAGGAAACAGAGCTTCAGTTTAGACTGATTTGATGTATGTAGTTGGAATATAATTTTCTTTCCCCTCCCCTTTTTTTTTTAAAGCAAACTCTGCGTAACTTACTGAGCAAGGTTTCCCCTTCCTTTTCAACTGAACTTAAACAATTAAATCAACAATATGAAAAATTATTTCATAAATGGATGCTGCAGTTACAGTAAGTATTAATGCAAACCTTTGCAAAAAGATGCATTTTTGTGTCTTTATGTTAAAGTAATTTAATGCATTGTTTTTACAATGAACTTGATATATTTATTTATTTAAAGTATAGGGCTGGGGATTTATCTCAGTGGTTCCATCGCCTGCCTTGCAATTGCAAGGTATTGAGTTCAATCGCCAGTACCAAAAAAAACAGTATATTTTCCCAGTTTTATGATTCAAATATAGAAATGTTATTTTGCTATATGGCTTTTCTCACAATTCTAGTTTTTGAAAGTGTGTCATCAAATTAATAAATATCAATTAGATTACAGTCCAATGTTTCATAGTAAAGATCTTAAGGTGAAAGAATATGTATATATTTTCTTTTAATGTAATTCTATATACATTAGCATTCAGAATTTCATGAAATTTGTTATTTAAACATTTTACCATTTTAGCTGGGGATTTAGCTCAATGGCAAGTGCAAGGTTCTGAGTTTGATCCCCAGTACCAAAAAAAAAATTACCATTTTAAAAATTATTTCTTATTTTTTTTTTTTTTTTT